TGACCTGCCTCTACATGTCTGCATCGCGCACTGCAGTTCCTTTGTTTCTTTGTTGACATCTTCCTTCCTGCCTGCCTCGTTTCTATACTGTTAAGTCCCACAGCCATAAAACGAAAATGTTATGACTTTCGTCTGGATTCTGGAGACCGGGGTCGCCGACCGCGTTATGCGATACCTGGAGTCGAACCCAGCCCTTGAAACACTAGACGCTGTTTCCACACAGACAACGAACCTGACTATTAAAGTGGTTTTTTGGTTTGTACACGGCAACCCTCTGGGATATTGCACAGTGCAGCCCCGTAAAGACTACTCACTGCCCTGAAGATGGAGGCAGTAAGCACCACCGAAACGCTGGCCAACTCTCAAGAAATTATACGGCGAGAAATCGAAATATCATTGACGGCTTCGAATGATAAGGCACTTATGAAATGGAAATGGTAAGGAAGGAATATTCTTGGAGGAACCGAGGAAAACAACTCAACTCTGAAAGTCAGAGAAACTTTTTAAAAAAAATATAGAAGGGCCAGACAACACAGAATTATTGCTGTTTTACAATTACGTCATTCACGTAAAAACAGAAGAAAAGAGCGCAAATATCTACGCTTTCGGGAACCCTGTAGATGGAGGCGATATGTCTCTCCGAAACGTTTGTAACTACCTGAAAGACTAGACGACGCCACGTCGTCGCCCCAACGGGAACCTCATATTACAGCTGAATAATTGTCAATTGTCCTGAAAACGTACAAAAGCCGAGATGGTGAAAGGCCACGGCCTACGGGTCCTCTTCTTATGTAGGTAAACTGTGGGGTCAGAGGACAAGTCCTAACTGATGGCTACAGCCTGTCGCACACCTAGAGAGGAGGGAGGGGACGACAGAAGTGCCCTGCCTACGTCTGCAGAACCGAAGGAAATCGATATCTCGAAGTTTACCTCAATACCACTCCTCAAACACCCGTGGTAATTATATGTACCACCTGCATCAACACCTAGAAATTCTGAACTTTGTCCACAGAGTGTATTAAATGAATTTCGTAAGATTCTCACTGTAAACAACGATTATTTATTTAAACAGCGTTAATCAGTTGATCTTTGTAATGGTGAAGTCTAGGGTTTTCTTCGCGGTACGGACTGAATCTTTAAATATTATTTAGACGCCTACGCACTGTATCTATGAGTTTCGTGTTTTTTTTTGAGTTTCGTGTGATTTTCACTGTAAACAGCGATTATTTTTTTAAACAGCGTTAAACAGTTGATCTTTGTAATGGTGAAGTGTAGTGTTTTCTTCGCGGTACGGACCGAATCCTTAAATATAATTCGGATGGGCTTCGTTCTTCAAGTGGTTTATTCAGTATCGAAATGAATCATAACCTGGTAAAAACAATACGTGTGGCATGCAACAGACATTTTGAATACTTTTTTGAACCCTAGAATGTTCTTCCCCGCGGCCCTCTTATCAGGACCTTGAAAATGAATCTGTTTTACGGCAGAAGGACGGTCGTTGGACACCTAACTTCCAAATGCGCAGATCGGACAAGTGGTTTTATATGCCATTACATCTAAATTCCTCGATCTTTATGAAAGGCATGGCTTCCAATTTTCTGTGTAGTTGGAATCGCGTTGAGACGGCACTTACACCGCAGGGCGCAGGAAAGCAATGAAGGAATGCATCAAAATCATCGCTGGGTACGCCCACAAATCCAGACGGACTGAATGCAAGAAAATTCGAAGGCTACAACAACGCGTTGCCAGGATACGTAAGGTTGAATGACGTCGTCGTATATCATAGACGACGAACCGATGAAGGAAGCTTGTTAAGAATTAACGAGAAAAAGCAAAATCACTCCTTATATGCGAGACCGGTCCCCGATTAGAAAAAAAGCAGTTTTATTTGTGGTTCGGCTGTGTCGGAATTTCACGTCCACTGTCCTATAAGTTACAGTACTTTAAAAAGAAGTTTAAAACTTTGTTGGTGAGGTTTCAGGTTCTCACGGCGGCCAGCAAGAAGATTACTGTCTTCTGAGGCTTTGCGCTTTGTCGTCTGATAGAAGTTTACCGACGTTTCAGAGGTGCTTACAGCCACCATCATCATCATCATCAGGAATCGCCCTGATGACGACGATTTTATAGAACACCAAAGCTCACTACAATAAAGATGGCTGTCTTTTTGAGTTGTTGTTATGAGTCATATGAATACAGCCCACAACCTTCCACCTTGTTTCCTTAGGACACATTTTAATATTATCCTCTTATTTACGCAAAATTCCTCCAAGTGACCTTTAGTGTTCTCTCGTCTCCGTAATGAGCGCTATGTGCCCAGGTCAGAATTTATCCTGAACAGTCGTTAATGCATAAATAATAATTGGCAGTTTTCGATATCGTAGGCTCTGGAGTTTTAGTGCGAAATATCGCTACTGGTTATTGCACACAGAACTGCACAAGTGGCCACAAATGATTAATTTCATTCTTTGCGATGTTTTCAGAACGGCTTGTAGCGATGTTAAACCAGGTCAGGGAACATTTCGGAACACCACCGCCACCTGGACGTTCATAACTGATCAGACGTCTGAAACAACAGAATGCATCCGAGCGTAATACTCCCAACACGTGCAGCGCCATTGTTTGGAAGCTTGCGTCCGTATTTTCATACCTCGTAATCCAATTGTTTTCAAGAAACGACTTAAGTGGTATTACATTCTTCAGTCCGTGCAGACAATAAACATTTTACAAAATATTTCTCAGATGCTTCCAGTCTAAAATTCAGATACCTGAAGATAAAGTTAATGTCAGCGCATTCTATTTAAGACCTGTTATCATTTTTTTTGTCTACTATGAATTCCCGTTCAGTGAAAGTTACATGAAATTTAATGCGGTCTAAAACCTTTTAAATTGTAACCGTATTTTATTTTTCATTCTAAATGTGTAATTTGCTTTCTGAAACTCAAGAATAACGTGTGGTTATTAGCAAGAATAATCAGCCAATCACAGTCCTTTTTACGAGTTAAAGCGACACAAATCAGGCTCTGACAAAGAATATTAAAATTTGTTAGATCGAAGAAACCTAACCTCAATTACAATGGTTGCAAAAGCAACTGAGTGTTGACAATCAAATTCCTGAAAGTGGTAGGTCTTGCAGGGAGAGGAGAGGAAAGCGCCTAACGGACTGAGCTTGAAACAAACGTAACTTATTTATTGTTCGATTAACGACGCTGACAGTAGCTCAGACTACACAGCATTGATGATATGACGAATTGGGCAAAATATGGAACAAAGTTGTAGTGGCCTCATTTAAGTTACTATCAGGACATTTGCATGAAGATATAAAGAAAAACTACATAAAACCTGTTAGGATTACTGAACTCCGGGCCATGTTTTGAAACACAGACCTCCCGAATATAAAGCAGGAGTACCAACCATTCGATGGCAACCGGAACTACATTTTAGATATTTTTATAAGGACATAAACGAATTGAAATTGTGCTACCAATTTAGAAATAACTCGGCAAAGTACAAGAATCCTTCAACAGCTGATGAAAACTCCTTTCATTGTTTAAATAGAGGGATTAATGATGTTAGGCAGACTGGGTGTAGGTGATCGTCACGCTCTGACGTGAGTAAGGGACACCTTGCGGACTTGTACATGTCTGTCTGTCTATCTACCAAGTTTTTCCTAGGAACTAATGACCATCGGTCATTTTAGGCTTAAAACAATCGGTTCACATAAACGTAACAATGACCATACCATTATTAGTTTCGAGCAGGAGTGATCTAAGTCAACAGTCCCTATGAAGCCGTCTAGTGACGTCACCGCCCGCCGCATGGCGTTGAAAACAAATATCCAATTTCAGAGTTCTCTTATTTATTAATTTCGACAGAACAGTTAAAATTGCCAGATGCCAGAACGAATCCTTATAAAGGAACGTGGCACCTCCAAGATGCCGGTGTCCCCCGACGACATAACCCAGAAAGACCGAGTACAAGCAACATTTTTATCTTTGCGAGAACCTCAAACCTCACGATCGTAACTCGGCTTTGGAGGTTCCTTTCGCATTTGATGAATATCGGCATGGCACCAGGACGGATGATTAGTTTGTATCATTTCTATAGATGGCACAAGAAACCTAGAAGCTTTCGCCATCTGTTAGCAGCGCTTAGAAGTAAAGACGCCAACGACCTTACGTAATGCGCAAGAGTGTAATAGAATTTGTTATTCACTTGTGCCAGAGTTCATATAGAAAAAAGTGATTTCAATGGAACAAGGAATGGTAAGATGTTTGTTGTGAAACTATAGGCTTTGAGAAACTCTTTTGGGAGCCGTGTAATTTATGTCACAGTTGCAGACTGAAAGTAATGCATGTGTAGAACGTAACTGGAACAAGGCCGGATTTGAATGCTATTTGCAAAACTGTCAATGAACTTCGGTTTCATTTACTGGTTCTAGCGCAAACCCAAACCATTCCGATTTACGTAATGGAACTGGTCACCTTACTTCTAAACATATACTGCAAAATTTCTAATGTAAATGAACCCCTTTGTAAGTGTCAGAAATGACATCAGAACCATACGTTCTAGTTTGTTGCTGTGTTCAAGCTAACGTCATGCAGCAGAGACCTTATTTAGAACCATTTGCAGGTAGTCATGAATTTCCGGCTATTTATGGAACCAGAAGTTTCATTACCACATTCCCAAAAATCCGCAACTGGACCCCATCTTGGGCCAGATGAATGCAGTCCATGTCATCCTATCTGACATGCTACACCAGTTTGGAAATTCACGTTTTATTGATGTCTGTACTCTATACTTTGTGCTAATTGATCCTCTGCTGTGGACATATAACATGTGAATTACCCATTGCCCTGGATTGCGACTAACAAAAGTTTCTGATGTTTCTTTGGCAGGTTGATGAAGATTCTGACTCTGACAGGGATACAAAAAAGGACTCTGAAGTCACTGGTTTGTTAGTTAAGAGGAGTTTAACACACCTCTCAAGACAGAATCTGTGGATGCTGAGGGATGCAGCAGACCAAACAAACAAGATCAGGAAGAGAATTCGTGTAATGAGTTACAGTTTGGTTTTGTGGATGTCAAACACATTAAAGTGGAGGATGAGTGCAGTGATGAAGAAATCATAGTACCAGACCCTAAAAGTTATTTTGAGTTAGGTGATGAAATTAGTGATGTTGAATCAGGCAAGAACGATTTCGCTGAAGAAGAGGAACGCCCGTATCCATGCCCAAAGTGCAACAAGACATTCAAAAAGATAGACAACTTGAGAAAGCACTCCCGGACTCACACAGGGGAGAGACCCCATGCCTGCCCAGAGTGTGACAAGCGCTTTGCGCAGATTGGCACTCTCAAGAAGCACCTGCTTATCCACACAGGGGAGAGACCCCACGAATGTTCCGTTTGTGGCAAGTGCTTCACGCAGCGTGGCACTTTGAAGAAGCATATGCTCATTCACACAGGAGAGCGACCCCACGAATGCCCAACATGCCAGAAGCGCTTCACAGAGGTCGGAGCACTTGTGCGGCATACCGTGACACACACTGGGGAACGTGCATACCGCTGCCAGACATGCAGCAAGACCTTCAGACAGTTGGGCGCCCTCAGGAATCACTATCGGGTTCATCCGCAGGACCAAACCCACATCTGCCAGGACTGTGGCAAGGCCTTTAGTGAACCCAGTGCTCTGGAGAAGCACTCCACGACACACTTAGATCTACGTCCCTTTGCCTGTGACATGTGCGAGAAGAGATTTGCACAGTCGAGCACCCTGAAAGAGCACACCCGCATCCATGTCAGACAGCGGACACACGTCTGCCAAGTGTGCAGCAAACATTTCAGCCAAAAGGAGTCCCTCCAGGAGCACGTGTTGATTCACAGTGGTGCACGACCACATGAGTGTCAGAACTGTGGGAAAAGATTCATGGAACTAGGACATCTCAAAATGCATGCTCATGTCCATGAGAAGTTGAATACTGCCCTTTCTTCTTATTCTCAGTGTGTTGGAGTGAACTAGTGACATGCTCCAACTACCTGATGTTGTTCATAATGATTCACAGCCATCACATCAACTATTCTGAAAAATGTGTTCATTGTAAATTATTCTTGGGCTACCAGCCATGTAAGGTGCCTTAATGACGAAACCACCGTTTCAAGAACCATCTTGATCTTTGTCCTTGTTCAGTAAGCCACGTTACATGGCTGGTAGCCTGAGAAGAATTCATTATACCATGAAAGCTTCAGATCATAAAAGTGAGTTTATTATTTCTGTCTATTTTCTGATTCAGATAAAAGTAACATCTTGTAAAGTCTTGAAAATATTCTTTTCTGATTACTCATTCACTGATTTTTCAGTACATTTATTCTGCTGAAAATACACACAACTTCTGCCCATATTTGTTAATTACATGAATTACTGTTCATTTGCTGCTGCACATTGTCACGAGTACTCTGGCCTACGATTCTGCGGCAGAACTTGAAGCTGAACATTCGTAAGAATAATCAGAACACTTAAAAGACACTACAAATAATGATACAGAAATTACAGACTGTGAACTTTGGCACATACTACAAAATTTATTTCTTGCTGTGAAATATTTGTTGAGATTATAGATTACCGCGTGGCACATTCTGGAGGAGATTCAACGCAGGTAATAGGCTTTAAGACTTGGCTGCTGATAGGATCCTACTCACAATACTGAAATAATCCCACGGATAGTAAAAGCATGTATAATGGGGAACTAAACTCTTTTTCAGGTTGATAATCCCACGGATAGTAAAAGCATGTACAATGGGGAACTAAAATCTTTATCAGGTTAAAAAAAGAAAAGCCAGCAATAAAGACTGGCCTTAAGAATTGAAAAATTATGTTAGCCTTCTTGTTATCAAAGTACAAATACATTTTACCCCTTAGGTTGCTGATGGAAACCTAAAATCAGTAACATCATCTCCACTTTCAGCAAAACATTTTCTTCTCCTTTGAAACATATTTTTATTTCTTAATATTATGGGTACTATTCCATGTTCGTGTCTGATGTCCACTGGGCATTTCCCAGCTTCAAAATCAGCAATAATTTTGAATTTGTTTTAAAAGTAGAAACCACTTTTGGGCATTTAGCTTTTCATTCAACTTTGCAGACTTGACCACTGAGTCTATTGAAAAATATAGTAAATAAGACACAACCGGAACTCGGAGAGTCCCTGGTAGATTGATGCTACTCAATGATGGAAGTGATACACGTGTTGACATGACGACGAGAATAGAAATAATGGTATTTAATACTGGATGGTGGATATGAGGAATAACAGAGAGGGAAGTTTATGGATATCAAGGGTCCAGTGTACATGCTAATAATATTTTGATACTACAAGAAACAACTGTAGATCATGTATTGTTAGATCTGTATTAGCTGAGTCATAGATTTATTTAATTGATCCACACAGTAAGATACACAAACACACACTAAAATATACCATATTACTGTACATAGAATTTGTAAATAAATAAATTCCCATGTACATATATACATTCATGCACTACCCATGACATGTACCTTACAACACATATTGGCGTTTCCATAGGAGAGGTTTTAAGAGATGCGTTTTCTCTCTTGTCGTGACGCTCTCCCTCGTTTGCTTGATGAACGAAGTATGATTACTGGCAGGATAGGATTAATATCGGAACTTAATCTAGGGTCCATTCATCTTTTGTACGGTGTGTACCACAAGTTTCTTCCCCAGGGATGAAGATGCTGGATCATAACGCTGACTGTTTCATCAAGCGGATTTCTGAAAGCAGGTATCCAGTGTTGACAACTTATCAAAGTTCACCTGCTGGTTATGAGATTCTCTTCAGCATGCATTCCATCGAAACTACAACCTGCTGGTAATCCGCCTAGAAGAACACTCTGTACAAAGGGAATGTTTGTGGTGGACTTCCCCCCAATTTCATTCAATGTCTTTATACATGACATCGATCAGGCTACCTTTGTGGCAAACATAATCTGTTGGCAAAATGCTGAATTGTTGAACACTGAATCATGTTCACCACTTTTAAGAGAACGTTACTAAACAATCTCTCCAAAGAAAGTGACAATATAAATTAATGTCTTCATGACATTTTTAATGCATATTATCTGTATTACAGATAATCAAACATTAATCATGATTTACCTACTGCAAACAAAAATCCAAGAAGAATGTACAGAGTGTTAGGCGCTACTCTTTAACAAAAGACTGCGTAATTCCATTTTTTTCTCTCAAGGAATCTGAAATAAACAAAGCTATATTCCTCTATTTAATGCCAGTTACTGGAAATTTCTTCACTTTTTAAGGCCAAGGAAATCTCGAAGACAAAAACATTTTTGAAATGGTTACGTTGTAAACGTGGAACTTCATTTGAAATTTTCCATGATTTAGCTTTTGTCATAATAAAGAATATAATATAGACAAACCTGTTTTATAAGTAGAAGGCCAGTAAGTTACCAACACTGCACACACTACATCATTCATATGAAAATGAATTTCATTGTTGTTTCATTACTGGCTCAGATTGGCAAGATCTGTAACTGGGAACTTAATATGCAGCTCAGTATTTCAGGGTCATGAATTGCTGTAGAAGGAGAATTTTATTGTTAGAAAATAATTTCAAAATTTGCTTTCTATAAGTTTATCCTGTTTAGCCAAAGAACGATGCATTTCCTTAATTTCAAATTTAGTTATTAGATTTATCAACCCAAGAAATGTAGTCAAATGAATGTGATTTAAAGGAAAGGTAATGACTCAGCTTCCACCAACATACAAATTTCTTTTTCTGTTCCAGCACTTTGAATACTTTTGTGCACCGTTTAAATTTCCCCATATGCTGATGAAAATAAACTTTACATGCATGTTACAGAGCATTACTAACATCAAATAACACTAATTGTTTTTGGTGGATTTCAACCTGTCAGTTTCATCATGTCCGTCCGCAAATTACAGCACACAGTTGCTTGAAAAAAATTTGATCAAAAATTGTACGGTGGACTTCAGAAAATCTTGGTTAGAGGCTTTTAACCTACGAGTCGCAATTCTTATGTGAATAACCTAACTTTTCTTTTTGCCCTTTGGCAGATAATGGTAAAACTTCCATTACATAACTGTTGCTATGAGAGAGGTTTATTCCCTTCAGCTTGTTGTAAGGCCCTTGGAACGTAAGGGCTGTAACACATTCTACGATTATCTGACCATGTACCCAGCTCCTAAAAGACTGCCTTTAATGAAATTTATATGGATTCATAATATAGATCAATATCTTAATATAACATTTTCATTAAATTCAGTGATTACTAATACACCTACTAAATGTACACCATCCACAGAGCCGTTCAAATTTACTATTGTTTTGCTATCAGCTTCTTCGTTTACCCTACAGTGCACATGCCTAAATAACAAACAAACATCACTACTGACCGAAACACACGTTTTAATACCAGGATGACAAACGTCTCGGTATAATAAATATGTATTAAAATATACATAAAATACATTTACGTTCATGCATAAAATGACATTTGTGCACCACAAAGTGTTAACAAATTAAGTGTGGTACATAGATGTTTCGTGAAGAGTACAAGTACCAAATATTTCATCAAAATTACAAGCAAAGGTAAGAAATATTATGATGAAAAAAATTATTTACAGACGAACACAAGTCAACTGACAGGGGTTTACGCCATGAAAGTGCCCGCATTTCGAATTAAAACGCAATACACATTGGCGGCTCGTGGGTCTGAGGAGTGGTAGCGCTGCGCACGGGGTAAAAACCAGAATAGTTCTTCAACACATAACAATACAGATAAATGAAAAGTAAATTTACATCAGCAGAAAACCCATACGTGCTCGACGACGTTGTAACTATCTGTATGTCCGGAAGAGGGCGGCCATGATTTTTACATAAACTCTTTCACTCGAAGACAATTTAGAAATAGTAATTTGTTGTAACTATGATACACTTCCTTTGCTCATTAGCATTATCATAACAAAAAATAGTCAGCACACGGAATTATTGAACACTGATTAACAATAACAACGAAACAGTTAGTGATACAGAAACCAGTCTAAAACACGTGGTATCGGGCAACCATGTTTACTATTAGCCGGCTAAAGGGAATCCAGCTTGGACATGCGCAGTACCAGCGAAATTGCGCCCACTTCACGACTCGACGCAATCTCTACTTTTGACCGACCACTCGTGACAAAATTCTTGCAGCCGGATGATAGCAACATTTTGCTTCGCACTCCTCCATCTTGGACTTACTATCAGTTCAGCCGATTAGTGGATAATGACAACGTAAGGGGCAATATTAAAATAATGATATAGAGGAAATAAAGTGTTACAAATTATATAAACACAAAATAAATTTTTCAAGTTTTGAAAAAAATTATAGGGCAGTGGAAATACATGAACAAAAATAAAACTTTATATCCACAATCGGGAATTTTATATTCTCGGTAAAAATGACAAATTTCGGACGTGCATCGTTCTTTGTTTCACCCGCTCGCCACGTTGAGGCACAGGACGTGAGCGGGACCTGAAACATACGAAGCAAACAAACAAACAAACCTTCTATAAGATCAGCAACAAACACAATCTGGAAGTAACTGAGAAAATCACGGCAGAGTACTCACCTGAGCTGCGAATCTTCTTCAAGGAAAAATCGACGAAATTTGAAGTTGCGAAATTCATTCCAAAAATTCCGATGCGAATTAATAACTTGAATCCATAACGAAATCAAAACTGACCACCTCAGTTCATCGCGAAACAATAAATCGGCGGTTCCTTCAAGTGAACACGCAGATCGCAAATAACGAAGCTCCGTCCAATTCGAAGACAAAATTCCGAAAGCGAGTTAAA